CAATAAATTATTTTGATGATTCAACAAAAAATTATTTTCAGATCTGTATTTAGCAAAATTTTTAGATCTTTCAACAAAATCGTTCTTTCCGCGTGAATAATACTTTGCACGATGACATATACGTCTTTCACAAAACGTTTTTATAAAATTGTATCACGATTATCTCTATTCCTTGCGATGACTCGAGATTTTTAAAGCTGACCTCAACGTTAAGAATATATCTTTAAAGATTTTTCATTAACTTATCGAGAAAGAGAGTGGATCTAATATCTACATTAGCTCGTTTCCATCGATTTAAATCATACTTTGAGTTCATCGGTCGAACTCCGGAATAACGGCGGGCAAAGCACGGCGGGGTCGGAGCGTCGATAATAATAGAAAGATGGGTAAAGAGGCCGTATAAAATTTCCGGCGATATTAGCCACCCGTCGAATTAGCGCTGCGAGAAAATGCCCTACTCACTGTCGTTCCCCGGGGAGGGCAGTTGGGGTGAACCCCGAATGGGGCACCCTCGTGCAGAGAAGAAGAAGGGCGGGGCCCCGCGTGAAGGGGCCCCGGGTCAAAACCAACCCCTGGGTGGAGTTTGCACCCCGTATATATATGACGAGCATAGGGTTCACGAAATACAGAATTCGATGCACCGTCGTGCAGTCAGGATCTGCGAGCCTACATTTTTTTTCTGTGACCCGACTTCGTCTTACAATTGAAAACATTAGAAGGTGCGAATCGATATCGTGAGATAACTCGAAAAAAAGCAAAGACAATCGTTCTTCAAAAAGAAATCATCGAAAAGACTTAAGAACGCGGTGATTTCAAAGTATCGTTCTTCGGAAGAAAGATCTCGTGCCATTAAATTCGAAGCGCGAGGATTAAACGGAAAGTTAAGTGCAACGAGAAGGTCCCAATGATCGTTGGATTACTTTGTGTCGCGTGTGAACTCCACGGCTCGAGCACAACTTGAGCACAGTTGTGTTGATCTTCCGGCGAGGGAGATTCTTCGACGGGGAGGAGAAAATGTCTCGAAGCTTCCTAGTGGACTCTTTGATCGGCAACAACTCGCCGCCCTCGTATCCGCTGCCATATTATGGGAATCTGCCTAATTACATGTTCAATTTTTTCAACGTGGGTTTGGGCTACCAACCGATCAGGCCGGTGCCCAGACCACCCACAATGCCTGTACCGATCACCCCGCCATCGCTGGGTATTTTGCCGATATCTGGACAGAGTCCTCCGTCACCTTTGAGTACCTCGACAAGCAGATTACCAGGTAAAAACATGGCTGGCTAATTACTTTATGATAAATCTATGAATAACCGTTTATTAATGATTCACAAACACGTGTAATAATTATCTTGTAAATACGCAATGTAAATAATTGTTGGCAATTATTATAACAGAATAAGCCTAAAATCAATTAGATATTTCGCATTTCACAAAAACGTAATTTATTTCTATTTTATAATATATGCCAATATAATTGTTATATATTAATTATGTATATGTACATGTACATATATTTTTACGAGTATGTATGTATATAAAATTAAAATCAGTAGATATTTTTAAATTTTAAATATTCATTCATTTTTAAGACCTCAAGATATTATTTTAACGTAAAATATGCATTTTTACGATACGAATATCTTTTCACTCTCGCTAGATATATCATATCGCGTAAAAGCGAGCATTGATCTATCGAATTTCTTCTATCGCAATAAACTATCTCTCGCAGAGCAGCGCCATTAACCTCTGACCTTTTTCCTCAGACGTTTCAACACCGAGCGAGTCTCCGTCCCGCAACAGCACCCCGACGCCTCCGCCGAAATCCCCGAGCTCCATTAGCAACAGCTCGAAGCGCATCCGAACCGCGTTCACGAGCACTCAGCTGTTAGAGTTGGAGCGCGAGTTTGCCTCGAACATGTACCTGTCGCGACTACGTCGAATCGAGATCGCGACCAATCTGCGGCTGTCGGAGAAACAGGTGAAGATCTGGTTTCAGAACCGCCGGGTAAAATATAAGAAGGAGGACCTGCCGTCTGGACAGAGTCCAAAATGCTGCTGCCTACGGACTTGCGGCAAACGAAAGGATAGCTGCGGAGGAGAGGAGTCGCCCGGGCGGAAGTGCGATCAGGACGAGGACGAGAAGAGGTCGGTGAAGAGCGGCGAGAGTGACGACGGTAAATTCAGTCGCGACGGGCACGCCGCCGTGACTGAGCCCGTCGAGCGATCGATCGCGAATGAAGACGTCGGCCCCGAGGAGAAGTTCGACTTCTCGAGAATAAACTCCGCGCGGGAGTACGAGGCGCGCGATCTCTCTCGAGGCTGCAAGAGGAGTCTGGCGGAGGCAAGTGAAGGGGACGACAAGCGGAGGAAGATGGAGACGCTGGCGGATTATCAAACTCCGAATCCGGAGGCGATTACAACTCCAGTGTTCAGAAGTATAACATGCACGAAGCATACCGTCGAGAGAATCGTTAATTCGTAGATTCGGGAGTCTTGTACATAAGTTCTCGAGACCTGTGAAGTAATGTGACGCGAAGTTCGAACTCTCACGATAGCTTTACAAATGCATAAACTGAATATGTAGCTAAACGAATAGATAAGCGCTCTAAGAGAACGATCGAGACAATGAGATTGTATTAGAATGCCTTCAATAATTGTGAATATTGTAAATATATTTTGTAAGATTGTGTTGTAGATATATTTTTGTATGATTTATGTAGAAAACCAAATTGTGTATATTTTTAATATAAATTTAACTAAAATAAATATCGCGATTACTAAAATGCTCTCATTAGAATCTTAATTCCTTGATAAATATGACGTTTATGTACTCTGTTTACCAGATATGCTCAGATTACTTTCAGAAAACATAAATTTTAAAATAGTTAAGCAATAAAAATTTGATTTTTATATAAAAATTTTATTAGAAGAAAAAAATAGCTTCTCTTTGTATTAAAAAATATACGTAAAACAACAAAAGATAAAGCGTAAAAAATGATTTTGGATAGATAATAAAAGTCTAGTAATTTCTAATTACTGATATAAAATAATTTAAATTTACAAAAATAATTCTGTGACTCGTACATTTTTAATTAAATATATTTAGTTTTTTTTATATTAATGTCGCTCTTGTTATTAAATATATAAATGTTTCATGAAAATATTTTCATTTTAAAAATATTGAGTTAATTTTAATAACACATATAAAAAAAGCTTCTTCTATCATATGAAAATTTGAAAAAATAAATATACAATATTATTTTTAATATAAATCTTAATATAAATAATCATATATCCCTTAAATTTAATTACATCGTAAAATACATACATTGTAAAATACATCTACATAAAATTGGTAAATAAGGTTCAATTTTAATTTGATATCTCATTGTGCGTATATATGTCAAATTTATTTCATTTCAAATATCCGGCGATACCGATTCAAGCGACAAGTGACAGCAAATAAAAAGTTACGAACTGGAAAATTACACAATTGATTACCAAAATATAATTTCTCGTATACAAAGCCTCTACAAATGATGTATCAAATGTTCATCATAAAGAAGCGTCTCCGACACACGTCACCACCTTCAATAGCGTAACGCGCGCCTGTGCGTGATTTTCCAGTCAAACGGCCGGTCAGAAAGAGTACAACTCAACAAGAGTGCAACGCGCGGTCACTCGGAGGGCCCCGCTCGCCATTGTCGGTGGGAAACCGGCCGTGTTGCCCTAAGTCCCGGAAATTTGTCAAGAGGGCCCCCCCACTTTAGGTTAAATTTAAGGTAAAACGTAGTTAATGGTGCTAAGAAGCCGTGCGACAATGCGCCGAAGATCTCTCGCGCTCTCGAAGTCTTGATGCCCGGCGGGGCCGACAATGGGGGCACACTTGTGTTGCCATTCGCGGGGCCCGGCGAAACGTGAAAACCAGCCGGCTGCCCTTTTTTTTCCTCCAATGCTCCGAACGCGACAACGCCGCGCCCCATTCACGGTAGCCAAGAAGTCCCCGTGGCCGCGTCAGATTCGATTCATTCATCCCATTCGGAGGATCAATAATAACGGGCGCGTAGGAGGGAGAGGGGACCCGATCAGCGCTCAGACACTGAATGACGACGAAAAGTCGAAATCGAAAAATCGCGCTTGCACGATCCGCCCTTCTTGCCTTTCGTCGTACCGGGAGCACAACGGCGCGGCCGGTGCTTTTTCAATCGGACGATCGCCCATCGGAATGAGTCTAAAGAAACGTTTAAGGAATGCGGACTCGTCGACAATTTCTCGCCTCTTAAGAGCGGTAGCGGGCGCATTCGGTTATGGCAGTTTAAAGTCCGACGCGTGAATGCGAATACAAGTGATGTATGGAGTGCCTCTTAAATCCCGACTGACTTTTCTAATCTTTCTTCTACCTGAGGCGGCGCGGTTGCTTCTGAGTTACGACGCTTTTAATCAATTGCAAGATTATGTAGAGAGAATATAATAGAACGTAAAAGAAAAAAAGGCGAGAGATTCGGAAAAGAGAGAATAAATACGCACGCTTTAATAAATACGTGCATGTGTTTGATAAATACGCGCGCATTTAATGAATAACCGGTAGAAAAGCTCGGCGGTGTTATTTGCCGCGTTTCACCCTTCAATTGAATTCAACGTTTTGTTCATTTGCGGTGGCATCCGGCCAAATGAACGTGTGTGACGTTCGAGCGCAATTCAATTTTCCAGGCCCTCGCGTGTTCACATCTCGGATTCAATCGGATCATCGGCAACGATAATGATATATACATAGCTTCAGCCGCTCCTTTATGCGCCAATTCAGCATTTCGCGTGTGTCAGTTGATCCCGTCTGCCAGAGATCGCGACGTGCCGTGTCGCGGCAATCCCACGCTGATTGCGTCAATGAGGCACCGCTCGAATAATTGAGCACGTTCGTGCGCTTAATGGAAACGAACGATAAATTCGAAGAAAATGATGACGGCGTATTAAGCGTTACTCGGTACTCTTTGTCAAATTCTACGAGACAATCTGCATCGCTGCATCGATGCGCAACAATGTCACCACGATACTAGTAAATTATGTAACGTTACGTACAAATCGCATTACGCAACGAGTTCGATCGTTTCCTCGTAACAGTAATATAAGATAGTCGTGAGAGATTTTGCATATTCTTGATATCACAAAAATATACTTTTCCAGTTTATTATACATATATTATCCCATAATCGTTAAAATTTGATTTCACTAGTTAAAACTAATTTTAAATTCAAAACTAATTAAAACTAGTTTTATAGTTAAAACAATTAAGGTCTATACGGAAAGAACGATTTTGTTGAAAGGTCTAAAAATTTTGCTAAAAACAGATCTGAAAATAATTGTTTGTTGAATCATCAAAATAATTTATTGGAATGTTAAAACTGATAAGCATTGCTATAAAACGTCTTGATATTCTAGCAATCATTTTGATTTTCATACAAAATAATTTTGATTATTGAACAAAAATTATTTTCAGATCTGAATTCAGCAAAATTATTCTTTCCGTGTATATAATTGTTTCACATGGGTTTTCGATACGGTTTATATACCGTTACGATACCGTGTATATAATTGTTTCACATCGGTTTCCATACGTATAGCAAGGTCCAACCTCCCTCCCTTCCTCCCTCCTATTTACTATGATTATGGGTTTTGACAGTAACATACAATACATGAACATTCGATTTGACAAATTGCAAAACAAAATAGGAAGAACATGTTTCTGATAAACATCCCAATATTGGCGCAAGATTATACGATTAATTTTTTGGTCGATTTAAAATCTGTTCGAATGATCAAAACCAACAAAACCGCGTCGATTTCTTACCCTTAGCGATAACTTGCGACTACAATTATTTCTATTCAACTCTATGACAGATCGTCGCGGTCTGGACTGTCGGAGAGGGTTAGCCCGAGTGATTGTAATAAATCCGAACAAACTTGCGCTCTCCATAGCGGAACTGGTGGGGCCGCAAACGGTTTGTGCGACTCGAAAATCGCGGGAAAGAGACGACGATAAAGAACACGGCACAGGAAGGACGTCGAGGGAGAGGAAAGGAACGGCGAGAGCGAGGGGGTGACAGGGAGAGTTGTCGGCGGCGGCCGAGTTCTGGTTCCGGTGCGCTAATTCATTTCATCTTATGCGCACTGAAGAGGCGCTCCATCAAAGCTGGAAAAAGCCACCGCGACAGCACTCCAGCGCGCGGAAGAACGGCGGAGGGCGAGATGACAGGGTGGTGCGGGCACTCGAAAGTTGAAACCGTTTTTGCCTCTTTACACCCAACCGGAGGACAATGGCGACAGCTATGTCGACCATTGTGGATCGCTTTCATGGCACGGCTCCGGGCGCAACTCGCGTTTGAACCGATCGATTGATACCAGCAGATGCGACCATGAGAATTTCAATAAATAACGCGAGAACATTTATATATATTTTTTTAGAGATATACCCACATTTGGAACAAAATTCTTTTTGAGTCTATCAAAAATACACACGAAGGAATACCGAAAAAGGAAGAGAGAAGCGAGAGCACGGCAACTTTGCTGGCAACGAGAAAAGGAAAATTAATCTTTTATGATCGGGGAGGGAGGGGGGGGAGCAACAGTTTCCCCAAAATAATATAAAACGATGATTTTGCGGAAACGTATGTAGAGAAACAGAGCGTGAAGCTATATCTTTCTGAAACAAACTCCATTCCGATATTTTGAGATAACGTATATAGATAGCAAACTTAAATCGGTTCGGCACGATAAATCTGTTCGGCACGATAAATTTGTCTTAACGACGCTTCCGGACTCTCCCCAATTCTCGTTGGACTTCACACAAAGCGCGAAACTCCTCGAAAGGCATAAACCTCACTGAGCGACGAACGTGTTCCTCATTGTGTCGTGGGAGCATTGTGCAACAGAATATCGCCGGAATGTGCATCGTGATGTCGCTCGGGCCATCAGTCGCGTCGTGTGTGTATACGGCCAATGACGCGAGAATAATTTCGCAGAGAGACGCCCGCAAACGTGACGATCCCGTCGTCGGCCCGGTTCCTCATTGTCGCGAGTCCTCTATTCGCGGCTTCGCGCGTCGGCAAGAAGCGCGTGAAGATCGATCTACGGCGGCCGGGAGCCGTTTAATGATTGAGAAACGCCGGCACGGCGCGGCGTACCGGGAAATAAATTTCTTATACGTTGGAAAGAGTCCAACGCGTAAGAGTCGCGGAGTTGCAGAGGAATAAAATAAAACGGTAAAAGTGGGGAGCAATGCGACGGTAAGTTTGCCACGTGTGCATCGTGATCGACGCTGCGCCGGACATAAATTTTACACGAAAGCATACGTTTGCATACGTTTGCATACACATAATATTATTCGTCGCGTGACTCTTTGTAATTAATTTTTAAAATGTATCACTTTACAAAAATAAAAAGAGCAAAAATATGGACTCGCGAGAAAGCCATCGTGACGTGGAAATG